CTCCAGTAAAGGTTCAATGTTTTTTTCAATGCGGGCGTCAGCGCGGGAAATTTGAAAAAGCTTCGCAAAATGTAGATAAAACCGTTTTTCCAAGCGAATAGGCAATGAACTGCCACCAAATTTGGCTTAAAGATGCGCAACAAGGAGTAGAAGAAGTGTTTGAATCTTTGAAATATTATGAGAATGGAAAAATCGCCGTACCTTTTTGTGATTTAGGTCTCCGGCGGAGACCTAGGAAGAGATCAGGTTTCCGATTAGCAAACACTTTTTTGTTTCTCATAATATTACATTCCTTATAGCAAACACTTTTTGTGCACCCCTTGGCCCAACACAGCGCAATAACCAGATCAAAGCACTTTCTCCCTTTTTTGCTAAGGCCCTAAATTGTTTTTCCTTAGTGAAGAAAACGCGCTCCAAGTATACGCCACTGCAGGCTTGTCCTGATTGTACGCGTTTGTACAGGTTACAAAGGGGACTTCGTAACATCCTGTATTTTCAGGCGGGTATTCGTTCTTGTAAGGTTCAATCGGAGACCTCGTGCCGAGGCCTGACTTCAAGACAGTAGATTTACTCTGGAACATAATTTCTAAAGACCCTCGAAGTATGTCTAAAGAGTCTAATTTGAATTTAAAGTTGATCTGGTTTGTAGCAAAGATGTAACCAATATTCCTCGAAACAAGAGATAATCTGTCATTCTACATCAGATACAAAACAAGAAAGTATTTACCCCAAACCAATTATCAAAGCCTACCTCTTTCTTGGTTCTCTAAGAAGCTCTGGATTGCAAGAGCACATTCTACTTTCACAGGAAGTTCTTCATTGGCATTACACATTAACTGGATGACACCTTCGATAATCTAAAAAATAACGCCTTACAGTTGGCAAGCAAATCTGATTGTTGTATGAAAGGCTGTATATTAAAACGGAGCTGACTACTTACTTTAGTGAGAATGTTTTTATTCTGAAAAACTGCGTCGCTGAATTCTTTCAGACACCATGCAGCTCGAGCTCTCACAAATTTCGAAGGATCACGTAAGC